CCACAAAATACCCTTTCATTACATCCGCTTTGACTGAAAATCAATGATATTCAATCATTGATTTAGTACATTGTAAAGTCTATAATACATATAAGTTATACATGCAATTTAGATATCCATACTTGGAAATATGAAAGAATTTACGTATATGGGTATTGATGTATGTTCGAGTTTCTGTGAACTGTCATAACTGATGTGTCTAGTTTATTTTTTTAATGGACAAGTCATATTTCCCACTTTAAGTATATACATATATCTATACACATATTATATAGATATCTCATGACATAATTCTATTTCTATTAGGAATGTCAACGAATTGCATGACTTTGATTTATATTCTTAGTTGTGTAGTTAAAATCACTGATGAAGAAAGATACATTCACATATGCAAAATAATCTATTCGAATTCTTTGTATCATGAATTCATCTTTTAAATATGGGATTCCAATGATAAATAAATTATAAAGAAAAAAATGCCGGCTCAGTGGTCCAGTCGGTTAAGCGTTCGCGCGTGAGATTGAAAGCTCTGGGTTCGAATCCTGCGAGTGGGATCGTGGATGCGCACTGCTGAAGAGTCCCACAATAGGACGAAACGGCCGTCCAGTGCTTCCAGGTTTTCAACGGTGGTCTAACATCAATCGGTTCATGATCTCAATCAATAACTTAATAATCTCCACAACGCCTATACTAGTAATAAATAAACTAATCAAGTCAAGATGTATATGTAATAGAAGTTCTTAAAAAGGAACCATGTAGGTGGTAAACTATGGTGTTGGTTATTATGTTAAGCCCATATATATTACCTTATTCTACCTTTTGGACAAGTCAATTTATCTATTCTTCTTAAGTAGTCACGTTTTGAAATTGTTAATTATTCACTTATCAACCTTGATTGTTTTTAAATGAGCATGTGTGAGTGTTCACTTCTTATCCTTACTTACTTACTTACTTACTTTCTGGTTAGCGTTTTTTTGGCGAGTTAGTTTTCTACGGGATAGGGTCGCTAACCCCATGCCCAACCCTCCTCCTTTATCCGGGCTTGAGACTGGCAGTAACCCCCGTAGGGACTCCAGGTGGAGTTACTTCTTATCCTATTCATTACATATTTGTAACTTAGTTTTGTCTGACCAATAATATTGATTACCGCTTGATTAAATCTAGTTGGGTGTGCCCCCCTAAGAAAACCACGTGTTTCGGTTTGGCTACCCAGGTATTATCATGGCCGTCACACAAATCAAATCATTTATGTGGCGCATATGTATTTGGTGCCTCCTTATACCAATATTTGTGTTTAAATAAATAAATAATGATAAGTAATCTATGATTAAGTAAATGTTCGAAGCTCCGTTTCCATTTATGAGTTTATACTTATGTCTTACACTTGATGAGTACAGTTCTCTTAAAATTACTTAAATACTGAACGACAGTATACTTATTGGTATCATATTGCAGAGACAATGGATGAAGGGTTGTGCAAAATCTATAGATTGATTGAAGTTAGATATTAACACTGTTGAAGAATACCGACTCAGTAGTGCTTTACACGTGAAGTGTTGGTGAGCAAGAGTGAAGGTTCTCGGCTTGAACCCCGCGTGCGGAATAGTGGATACGCACTGCTGAGGAATCCTATAGTAGTAGAAAACAGTTGTCTAATGCTATCAAGTTTTAAATGATGATTTAGTTTATATCAACTCATCTATTCAACTATTATATTATTATTGATTGAGATCATGAACCGATTGATGTTAGACCACCATTGAAAACCTGGATGCAATGAATGGCCGTTTCATTCTATTGTGAGACTCCTCAGCAATGTGCATCCACGATCCCACTCGTGGGATTCAAACCCAGGTCTTCCAATCTCACGCATGAACGCTCAACCTACTAGAACACTGAACCAGCTGGTATCCAATGATGTTAATGTCTAACCTCAACCAATCCATGAAATTGCGCGACCGTCTTCCATTTTACTGAAGTAGATACCCGTCTCTACCCGACACAGATTAGCCCCACAAAACCTCTTCTGACATTAAATTACTCTTTCATTCATTTTGATTCAATTTCAAGTGTTTTTAGCACAAATTATACAATTTTGTTTTGTTTTACAGAATCATTTAAATAGATGAAATGATATTGATAATGAATAATATTTATGTTAACATTAATCAATCAAGCAATCGATCAATCAATCGATCGATCGATCAATTAATTAATCGATCAATTATTTGAATACACTGATATTTTTTAAATAGACTATCATGACACATTTTAATTTATTATGTCCTTATTTAGTACTAATCAACATTATGTAATAATCGATTAATCAATAAATCAATAATGAATAGAAAACAATAAAAATTGAGTTCCTTAATTGATTATAATGATAATGATAATTGATAAGGTCATTTGTTGAAAATGAGAAAAATAAACAAAGTAGAGAAAAGCACAAAAATAAACTACAATATAATAATGATGATCTACTTTTCCTCATTATGTTATATATATAGTCATGGGGACCCCAACCAAGTAGCCTGCATCTATCAACATGGTTCACATCAGAAGTTAGTGACTTGAAGGACTGATGTGGCCACCCGCCTAACTTTCTTTCAATCATTCTTAACACTAGTCAGCATTATGCGTAATAGTAAAATTTGTTGAAATGATCATATATATTTTACACGTCAATTTAAAGGTATTTGATTATGGTTGGTATGCTGTGAAACATCCCAACATAATCATGATCAGATTAAAATTTGAATAAAGTTATTTTTTTGTAGTTGAATTCATGAGTTGATTAAAAGTTAGACCACTATTAAAAATATGGAAGTAGTGAAAGACTGTTAAGTTCTAGTATGGGACTGCTCGGTAGTGCGCATTTACGATCCTTCATGTGGAACTCCAAACCTCAGGACCTTCGGTTTTGCTCGCTAACATTTAAGCTGTAGAACGTTGATCTGACATTCAATGGTGTTAATGTCTAACTTCAATCGATTCATGATGTCATACAACCCTTCATACATTGTATAAGGTGGATAACTTTCTCATACCCGACATGAATTAGACTCCATTGGTCACGTCTTTTCACTAGAACTTCAAAAAAACCTAGTCACTAGTGAGAACATGTTATTTTTTTTATACCGAAATACGGATAAATGTTCAACCATTCCATTCAAAGTAAATTCCCACTAACTTCCGTCGTGGTTTGAAACTATTGAACTTCAGAAACGTTCCATATTGACATGATACTTAATCGAATAACTCATTTTTTCCATTATTTAAGTAAGCATTAATGTTTCCCGTTTAATTGTTTTTTATAGATTTAGTCAATATAAAGTTAATCTTTATCATAGACTAGCTTCATTTGAAGAACTATTGAAAGCTAAACGTATTGGACACTTGTTTCATCACATATTCGATATGCGCTAAAACCAGTAGATATATTAATTGTTTTTTTTTTTCTCCTGAAAGGTAACGGCGAGATTCTAATTTATGGACGAGCCAATCAGAGGCGTTTTGAGGGAATTTTAGGTTACAGCGTCAATTTTAGCACCCGATGATCACGTACAACTGGTTCACAGCTGATTTTAGAGAAAACGTGAAAACTGAGTGGATGCAACAAATAGGATTACTAAGAAGTTCCTTTATTTGAGTTTGTGGTAGTCAAATGAGTTATAGACCTTGTGCAGACTACTGTGATGATGTTGTCCTTCAATGTAATATGTATTCGAGAAAAAGGTCTGCTAGAATAGGATTTTTTTCGTTTGATCCAGATTGAGAATAAGGCAAATTATGACAGTTATTGCGAACTGGATAATAAAAGCACCAATAACACTGGATGCAGCCGGGTACTACAATATATACGGATGATTGGAGAGCGTACAGGCTCCTACATAGGCTTGGTTATGTGTATCGTGTCGTTATCCACAAGTAGCATTTTGTGTACTCAACAGCCGAAGTACACATAAACAATATCAGGACTATGTAGTCGAGGCTGAAAGGGTTTTTGAGACTTTATCATGGCTCCAGAGGTCGACTATTCGGTAGCCATATTGATGATTTCCTCTACCATATTGCATTACGATTTTAAAACCTCTAAAGCTCTTTCTAACTTTAACAAATTTTGAACCATTTAAAAGAAGTGTATCCATCTTAATTCTATGCTTTTGTATAATATAATTTCACTTTGTACTGTTTTCTGATTGGCTAACAGTTCTCTAGGTCGCTTGAGTTTCGTTCTAAGATTGTCCATAAATTATAGTCTCGTCGATTACCGATAGGAAGATCTTGACCTAGGTCACATGTTATGTAACGCTAGACAGCAAGATGACAATGTGACCATGAAAGAACTGGAGCTTTCTAGATGATGATACCCTACCAGGTTACGCAGATTCCCAGTATGAGATGTTACCATTGGACCTTTAGGAATGAGACTGATCTGTTATAGGATTGGGACATTTACAGTTATTGATTGAGATCATGAACCTATTGATGTTAGACCACCATTGAAAACCTGGAAGCATTAGACGGCCGTTCCGTCCTATTGTGGTACTCTTCAGCAGTGCGCATCCACGATGCCACTCGTGGGATTCAAACCCAGGGCCTTCTGTCTCGCACGTGAACGCTTAACCTACTGGACTACTGAGTTGGCCGGCATCCAATGGTGATAGCGTCTAACATCAACCAATCCACGAAATTGCGCGACCATCCTCCATTTTACTGAAGTAGATACTTGTCTCTACCCGAAATGGATTAGTTCCACTGATCACACCTCACTAGAACTCCGAGAATTCCCTCACGAAGCTGGTCACTAATGAACACATGTTAATTACAGTTTTTCAAAGTTCCCGCATCACTTAAAAATTTGAAGTTCCTGAATGTCTTAGATAACTAAACTCTTTTTAAAGTAAATTATTATGTTTTATTCTTCATTCAGATAATATTTATTTTCATATTTTTATTCATTTCTCAACATTCACTCAATTATTTCTTACTTTCAGAACTCGAAGGGATATTCAACATCAGAATAAGGAATAAATATGACAAATATGAATAATACAGTTAATTTGATCAAATCAGAGAATTTACCACATTCAGAGCATTCAGATGAAATAAATCGTAAGCATAAATGTTCTGACAATTTCATCAATGAAGATAATGATGGACCAAGTCAAATCAAACGTCAATGTTTATCATCTATTCACAGTTTAAATTATATGACTGATAATATAAAAACAAAATATGAATTTCAATATTGGCTTGTATTTACTGTGGTAACAGCTGGTAAACAAGGCATTGAATTAGGATCTGATCAAACACCACTTATTCAATTCAATGGAATATTAGGTGATTTTTATGAGAATAAAGTAAGTTGAATCAAAGTATTTAAAAAAAAAATTAGTTTAATGTTTAAAATAGTGTCTATTGAATTCTGTATTAATTCTGATGTATTAAGTTTACAGATCAATAGAATGAATCTTTGACATTTAACCCGTAGATCACTGAGCTGACATTCAACGATGTTAATGTCTAACTTCAATCGATTCATAATCTTGTGCAACCCTTCATCGATTGTTTCACACTGAACACGAATTCGAATCGATTGGTCACAACTTTTCACTAGAACTTGTTGTGTGGTGTTGAGTTGCGGTTGACTATGATCACCACTACAGGAAAACTACGTGCTAGTTAACTGATAAGATCCCCTGTAAGCCAAATATCAGAAGGCAGTTGATGGTTATAGTCGAGATGTATTTGTTGGCGATCTCGTGGTATCGAAAGAATACCGAGATCGTACCAAAGGAGTACAAGTGTGGTTACTGAGCGTAACGGAATTCGTGCAAGGTCACAATTAATGGAAGAATGTATGTATGGTACAGTTAAGCAAACAAGTACAGTAAAACAACCCGTGGTACAGTTGGTTATAATAATAACTGTTTCCATAACACCAATCGCGTTCGCTTGGTAAAAGTAGGTCGCTACAAACTTCAAAAAAACCCATCTTGAAGCTAGTTACTAGTGAGAACATATTATTTTTTTTGCTGAATTCTGCATCAGTTCTGTATAATCACATGTGTAATCGTTGTGGGTATTTTAGAAACAAGGAGAAATCTTGTTGAGTGCTGTGTTGTGTTTGACTCTTGACATCCCTTTCAACACATTCATTGGTTTTATCATAAGAATTTCGGTTTATTTTGTTCCATATTCTTAAACTGTCAAAGCCACATTATAAATAGATAGAATGGAGGTGATACCATGATAATTGGTATATAGTTAGTCGAAAATCACGAAACGTTGACTTAGTGAAAAGCAACCCTACAGAGTTTACTCTAACATAAATAATCTGAAATGTATGATGACTACTGGTGGAATCTAGGACAAGCGTTTCGTCTTATTTGAGACTGGTTAGCCAGATGTACTTGAATCCCAGAGTTGATAATCCCTTTATGACTCAAATCCAGTATCTTCTGATTAAAACTCTATCATGTTATGTACCCAGTACTCCCTGGACTCCACTATTAACTCCTATCGATCTTTGCTTAGAATGCTTTAAACTTAATGGTAGCGTCGAAGCAATTCACAAATAAGGTTTTATGAGTTTTTTTTCTTCTTTAGTTATGTATTTGTGAATAAAATTAAAGGTCCTACAGAACATTTTTAGGTGTTCGAATCAAGTTTAAAGTGAATTCTTTACAGAAAATGTAAAAAATGGTTTGATTGACATTTCGTTACCTAATAGTTTAATTCATCAGTCAACTGAAGCTAGACCATCATAGAAAACCTTAAAGCACTGGATGACCGTTTCGTCGTAGTATGGGACGTGGATTGGTTGAAGTTAGACATTAACACCATTGGACGACGGGTCAGTGATCTAGTGGTTAAGCGTTCATGTGTGAGACTGATAGTTCCTAGGTTTGAATCTCGTGGACTGGGATCATGGATGCGCACAACTGAGGAATCCCATACTGGAACGAAATAATCATCCAATACTTCCAAGTTTTCCATAGTGATCTAGCTTCAATTGACTCATGATTTCAACGATTAAAACTCACTAATAAATGTCCATGAAAATCCTTCTTTGATTTCGTTTATTCAATACTCATAATAGTTTCATCAACATAGGAATTTACCAAGAGAACATTTATTCTCAACTTTATATATATATATATATATAATAAGTCAATCAAATCTCTTCAATATTGATGTATATTAAGTGATGACAGAGATAATAGACAAGTGGTTAATAGATTGTATATCATAGAGATTGAATCAATGGATTGATTCTATAAAACAACATGTCATTTCTTTTCATTTATTTATTTAATTATAATGTCAATGTTTCAATTAGGTCACATTTTGTTTGAATCATTCATCGTTTTTTTTTCTATTATTTCAATCATTTGAATTCAATTTTATATGATCAATATTTAATTTTATGATCTGATCTTGTAATATGTAGATCTATCTAACTAAATGGATAATCACTATGTGCTCATTAGAGTGACTAGCTTTGTGAGAAAATTCTCAGAGTTCTAGGGAGAAGGCGGCCTGTTTGAGCATCTGGGCTACCTGTTCCTGCTATCTAGATATTTCAACAAGTTATCTGCTTCTTTGTTTGTTTTAATATATCATTATGTCTATTAATCGCATTACCTATTCTGAAACGTGTACAACCTTTCGTTGTCAAAGTTACAAAAAACTCAATAAGAGACAATGTGGTTGCTGGCAATATACAACGAAAAGAATGTACATTATTCAGATGTTCGTTTACTGAACTACTAACATCTAACTGGCGATTACCCAATATATATCGCCAGAACCGACCAAGAAGAAAGAAACGGAAACTTGTTGAAATACTTTGCGCTGAGAATTCTATATTGTACCAATAATATAATATTGAATAAAGCTAATAATAATAATAATAATAATAATAATAATAATAATAATAATAATAATAATAGAGCTAATCCATGTCGGGTAGAAACAGGTATCTACCTCAGTACAATGGAAGATGGTAGCGTAATTTCATGAACTAGTTGAATTTAGACACTATCACCAGTAGGTTAAGCGTTCGCACATGAGACTGAAGGCCCTGTGTTTGAATCCCACGAGTGGGATCGTGGATACGCACTGTTGAGGAGTCCCACAATAGGACGGAACGGCCATCCAATGCTTCCAGGTTTCCAAAGGTGGTGGCCTAACATAAATCGGTTCATGATCTCAACAAAAAAACTTAACAATATCCACAACCCTTAAACTGATGTGTTAGATTTCTTGGTAATTGAATAGAAGCTGGAGAGATTATAATTTATGGAAGAACCAATCAGGAATAAGGTAACAGATCTTGGATGTTGGTCCGAAGTTCACTTATTCATTTGGCTAAATAGAATTTTAGCATTATAGCTGATGTCATTTCATGATGATAACTCTAAATGTAATTCCTTACCTTAACCATCAAATGTAAATCATAATTTCAATTCCTTACACACTGGTTTATAATCCTCATTTGATCCTAGTAACTAGGTGGACACTCATAAAGATAGTCTAGCGCTGCTCAAACATCGTCTATAAATTATCATCTCATTCACAAGCTGTTAATTTGTTTTGATTATGATTTGGTTAAATGTTTAGTTTGATAAATATTGTACCTTAAACTGTATATTTTAATTTGTAAATACAATTAGATTGTCAGTCTTTCTCTAATGTGTTCAGTGTTTTACAACAACAATAATATGCTGATTGTAGTATTGGTTACTAATGTTAAACCCACATTACCGTATTCTACCTTCTGGACAAGTTAATTTATCTATTCTGTTTGAGTAGTCACGTTTAGACCTTATTCATTATTCACTTATCACCCTACTCCTACTCATCATATATCTGTAGCTTATTATTGTGTGACTAAATATTGATTACCGCTTGATTAAATGATCTTGGCGTACATGCCTTCTTCACTGTGCGTCATTTCGTTTCTCTCTCTTTCTTCTCTTTGTATCCTTCACTTTATTCTTCTGATTGTCTGTCTTGGATTATTGCGTGTACAAAATAGGTGTATTCAAGCATCCATTCTCGTATTGCATTGATTATATCATTTAGTCGCATGTTTTTATTGAAGTTGAATAGTAACAAGTAATGCATACAGGTAAAGCTGGGTAATAAGTACCACATAGAATGAAACGTACGTTCTGAATTGTACTGCTAGCTAATGTCTAACTTTATTGAATGATCATCTCAAGTTCATTGGCTCATAATGAACATCAGCCAAAATTAAACTTGTTATTACGAACATTTAAAAAAACAAAACAATTAAATACGTTAGTTACTTGACTAGCTTAGCGGTTTGTTTTCTTTTTATCTCTTCATATATATTTTCCATGAGGTCTATATACGTACTCTTATGTATCCTTATCGATGTGTTTACTCACATTCATTACTGATCTATTGGCATATCAACTAAACTTGTTAGAATCAAATAATGTATAAACGTTTCAAGTAAACAATACCAATTGAATTTAAACTTCAACCCATTGCACAAGCAATTGGTTATCAATACTCAGTAACTAAGTGGGTAGTGCGATGGCGTTTGAAGCGAGCGATACTGTGTTCAAGCCCCAAAGTGAATATCAATTCTGGAATTTGTGACTCATTCAGCCCGTGAGTCTTAAATAGAACGAAACCCGTGTCCTGGATCCCATCGCCACTATGCCACTATTCATCTTTGCCCTTAAAGCTTGTGACTTAAGGCAATATCGAGGAAAATTCGAACAGGATGTATATATGCCAACAATTGCAATCATAAACAACATTGGGAAGATATAAGCAAAAAAACATCAAATGAATGTAGATAATATTTCTTGGTTTAGCATTTGCTTTAACTCACAAAACTCATACTCAACTTTGAAACGGATCACAAATAGTTAATAGTCATATGAAATGTAATATCAGAAATGATAATCTCACATAATCAGCTAATTGATCTGCAATCTGCTCAAATTTTTGGCATGAAACCAAATTAATTACTGTAGTCATACACTTTCATAATGACTCATAAATACATTATTCAGAAGTTATCTTTGAGTTATCAGTGACATTAAGAAGCGTTCTACAGATCATTTATGGCTCTTATATTATATTATTTGATGACAAAAAGATATAACTACTTAGGCTTTATCATTCCCTACGATCCTCTGAACGTGTTACAATCAATAGTTGGATACCATTCAGATGGATTTCAATAATGTACAGTAGTATCTCAAAATATCAATTTCAATTCATGTATCTTGATTAATATCTAGTATACTTTTAAAAATCAATTGCTTACAGTGAATCAAGTTTCAGATTACCGGATACAGAGATATTTCAATAGTGGAACCATCATCCAAGAAATAGAATATTTAAATAGTTTTCATTAAAACCATGAACCGACTAATGTTAGACTACCAGTGAAAATCTGGAAGCACTGGATAGCTGTTTCTATCTAATATGAGGATCTTCACCAGTAAACATACACAATTCCGTATACGGGACTCACACCCAGAACCCCCAGTTTTGTGCGAACGCTTAACCTCTAGATCATTGGGTTCGAATCCTGCGTGAGGAATTATGAAAACATACTGCTAAGAAGTCTCACACTAGGACAAAACTGCTGTCCAGTACTTGTAGATTTTTAGCGGTGGTTTCACATTGATCGATTCATGATTCCAATAAAATTCATCACACTTTACAATCCCATACTGGAAGTTAAATAATTTTGTTTAAATATTATGAATAACGTGATGAATATGTGGATTTGTATCTGTCGTTAGAAAACAGACTACATTAGACTGTAATAGTTCATACATATTATGTGTAGTATGTAGTAAAAGCTAATAAGGTGAGGACATCAAGATGTAACTGTTTTACTCATAATCAACCAATGTTGATATCAGTCATTGAGAGTACTGTATTTTATTGAGTTAGTTCATTAGTTACAATGTAGGATCAGGTACATATATGCATCGGTCCAACTTGCCATACCTCATTTGCACAACAAGACGAACACCGGATTCATAAGAGCAATTAACTCAATGGTGGTAATATATAAAAGAAAAATTCCATATAAGGATATAGTACAGAAAGAAGGAATTAGTTCATAGAAAGAACGATATGAAGCGATTTTAATCTTTTAGTTTAAGGGAAGATAGAGAGTGTATACACCTACGCCATTCTGATTGATTCTGAGCCATGTCACCAAGAGTCTCCAACCATTGGTTACGATAGTCGTGCGGACCCCAACCAAATAGTCTTCATCTACCAACATGCCTAAGACTAGAAGTTAATGACTTCATGCACTGATGCCACATTTTGGTTTGGCAGACATATTCTCTTTTTGAATTACTCTAATTGGTTCTGACATTTCCATTAGTTGTTATTTTCATTCATTCTGATGTATAATCTAGTTGCCTAGACGTTTTAATGGATGACAACATGAATCAATGTGATATTTTCCATTGTTCTACATTTATTGAGGCCCTTGTTTTGACAAGTAAGAAATGTCAAAGTCAATGACTTTCGTCAACTATTTTCAAACTACCCATTGTACATTGCAAAACTTATCTCTTTTTATATCTTCACAAATTTCTAGATTGTTGATCGGATCAAAATCTCTATTCGGCCTGAAAACTTTACACGAATCTATCGATCTTCTGTAGATCTAATCAATCATAAATCTCAATTACAATCAAATATTAGCACCAATCATGAATTGAAATTAGATTCTTATTTTCTATCTCATTGTAATGGTTGCAATAATAAAATCAATGAGTTACCACCTAGAAACACAGGGAAATTTATCCCTTCAGTTGAATCAACTAACTACACCTCGACAGTACATGGTGTGAATATTTCTACAGAAGCATTAGAAGCTTCTGGTTTACCGGATATTTCAGAATATGAAATACAAGGTTTAAGCTTTAAAGAATCAATCATTAAGGTGAGATAATCTTTTATTTATGGTGAACGTTCCTCAATTTATCGATAAATGATACAATCATCTTCTCAAATATTAAACAAGGTTTTATTTTTTATGTGAGAATGGTCCACGGGTGAACTCGAGGAAGCTCTAAGAAGCTCAGAAAGAGCCGAAGATATTCCATCCAATCAGCTTTCTTGGAAGGATATTCCAGAATCACCACATGTAGCTTCCCTATTGGACAAATGCTAATAACTTCCTGTATGCGGATTGGATAACTGTAATAATGATTTGATTTTCACTAAAAATTATAAGTACCTGACAGTTTTTGTACTATAATTGACATTGATTGGAATAACATTCCTTTCACTTGTCTTCTGTCTTCTCATTTGAGACTTGGGAGTGTTCTAGCTTTCGAGTGCTCAAGTTATACGTGGTATGTTAAGGATCTAAGCTTTAGTATAACAACTGGCGACGGGGATGGGATATCTTTGGCCCTTTCTGAGCTTCTTAACTCTTCCTCAAGTTCACCCGTGGACCGAGCGTTCAAGTTATACGCGGTATATTAGGAATTTAAGCTCTATATATAACATTTCAATTGATATACTTATACATAAAGAATTCTAGTTCTCCCGTACGTGTAAGTTAATCCAGATAAAAGTTTTCCTACAACAACAATGAACGACTGAATAAAAAGATATTAAGTTGTAGTGCTTCAGTAGTCAATGCTGCATATTACTTACTTATGACTGTTACTTTTCGTGAAGGAGGAGCATAGGCCGCCCATCAACAATGTTGCATATTACAAGAAAGTTAATAGATTTCGACTAAATAATTATATCTATGAAAGCTGCTGTACATTTTGTTTGCAATTTCTTATGTTAGTAATTATGATCTTACGGTTTGTAATCCTTATAAAATCTACATTATTCAGTAAGTTAATCAACATTTAGTTACTATCAGTATAGGGTTGTGGAGATTGTTGAATTTAGATCGATATCATGAATAGATCAATGTTAGACTATCATTGGAAGCACTGGACAGCTGTTTCGTTCTAGTACGGGACACCTCAGAAGTGTGCATCCACGACCTCGCATGCAGGACTCGAACCCAGAACTTTCGGTCTGGCGAGCAAACACCTAACCTCTAGATCACTGAGCCGGAATCTGACAGTGTTAATGTCTAATTAATAACCGGAGAACCTAGTAAATTATAACCCTTAAGAGATATGATTCACCTTTCACCATACTGATGAGGTCCTAAAGTTTTAGTACGTACTCTGTTCAAAGTAAAGTATAACTTTTCAATATCATCTATTTTATTTGGATTAAAAATACACTCATACTGTTTGAATCTAATAAAATATACTTTTTTTCACGCACTCTCATATTGATCTATTCATCACATGAACAACAATTAGTATACGCTGAATCGTTTGACTAGAGTTGATTGTTGTAAATAATAATCTATTTTCTGATGATGATTTTTGTAGGGAAATCACCACGGGGTAGTGATCAAATGTCATGTATGTCAGATCCTTCTTAGTTCAGATCGAATCCTATCGACCAAGTTACAATGTGGCCACCAGTCTAGGTGACTCGACATTGTGTGCACTATACTGCGCTAAGATGGTATTTGGAGGTACTCAATAGGAAACCCTGAATCTAGGTCGAGTATGGATAGCTTACTGGCAACGTCTCTGACTGTGGAGTTGAATGACACGGGATCGAATCCGTCATGGGGCATCAATTCCCTCAAGATTATGAGTATATCTTACTGACGAGTAGCAGATAGCACGAAACCTAGGTCCAGAATTTCCTGTTGAAATTATGAATAATCATTGAATATGTCTTTACATTCCGAATTTAATTCTTCCAATTTCAATATTCAAATAATGACAATGTCAACGAGATAAATTGAAGCGTTTGGAACACAATAAAAATAGTTTAAATCATTATCCCTAGTTTGACACCGACCGACCATTTTTACAGTCCACCTTTCTTCCTTCCAACGTACTTTACTTTCTTTCTTTAAAAATTTGGTATACCTTCTAGTATTCTTCCATTATAATCATCTATTGTATTTAATGTTGATTAATGAACGAGTTCTGACTTATATTACTCTGTAATATCAGTAATTTTTGTCGACATTTTAATTACAGATTTCACATTGGTTAAAAGATCATGGAGTACTAGATGATCTACTACCGATTGACAAATCTAATATCTTACTTATCGCAGAAAATCATCAATCTGTACGAAATGTAATACATGCTGAAGCTGCCTATCGTAATATAGATCATGAATTGATCAATTGTTCACCTTGGTCAATGTATATAGATTTGATTGAATTTTGTCAACAATCACTCTTCAAGTTCAATAGTTCTAATAATGATAATAATGTTAGTAATAATGGAATCACTGAACAGAAGGAAAATAAAGAACATCATCTTCATAGCATATTTGAAGCTGCTCATGGTAAGTATAGATGTAGTTTTTAAAAAGTTGTTTGATTTTCTTCATGATAACCTTGACCAAGTGGTTAGTTAGATAGATGGTCACTAAAAAAATAGAATGGCAGTGAAACATGACCGGTAAGAGTTGAGGATATTCGTAGGTTACTAGTATTTGATCATAGGTATCTTCGAAACATTGTTCGTATATCCTGGGACCATTGAGTAAGTAACACAGTTGTTAGGAAACGGGTACTAGGTAAAGATAGCAAATCCATTGATGAAGTAGTGAAACGTCATCAGTTGAGATAGCTGGGACATGTGTTACGTATGCCCAACTACCGACTGCCTCGACGTGCGATGTTTTGTTGTATAGGAGTAGATTGGAAGAGAACTTTAACCATAAGGATTTATTAATCAATCTCGATATCTGATCTGAAATCGTAAATTGACGTCCGCTCATTACGAAAATCTCATTCACTCTTCTAATATATATGGACTTTTAAATAGTCGTTAATGAATATATAAACAGTAATTGGTAAGATTTAAATTGATGATTTTAGGCATTTCACTTGTGATTGATAATACATACTAGTTGTATCTATCGAAATCAGTAGCACACATCACACTTATAAGTAGTAGGTTGAATTCTTAAACGTTTTGCAACATAATGTACGTTGCTAATTCAATGAATAAATAAACTTCCTCAAGTTCATACCAGTTTAAATATTAGTACTAGGATCATGTTAACATCAACATTGATTTCATTTCCCACTCACTGCCTTCTCGTGGCGAGGGATGTTGTTTACGAAATTGAGAGAACGAAAAGCGAATATCCATAGCTTTATTCGGGTTGGTTGATATGGAGCATCCACTTAGAGGAGTTAGAAAACCCTTAATACAAACTGATGATGCACATGGGCTCGAGGATCCTGGGCGAACAAATGGCATATGTGAAACTATTCCATGCGATTACATCTCCTGAAGTTGCTCCACTGCCTTCTGGATTAAACCTTCAGGTCAAAAGCTCTGAATGTGGCCCCCTAAGAAAACCACCTGCTTTGGTCTAAGCACCCGACCAGTATCACGGCTCACGCACAAATGAAGTGACTTGTGTGGCACATATATATTTGGTGCCCCTTTGTACTAATATATATCGATTTAAATCGAATTCATCTTCATAGTTAAATTAAGATATTTCGAAGTGTGAGTTCTTTCACATTGCTCATCAGTTCTGTGTTGTTTAAACGTTTTATGTAGTTCTTTTATTGTAAGAAAAAGTTGTTAGATAAAATCATAACATCAACCCCATGAAGTCGTGACCGTGTTGTAGCGGTTATTGTGGCTGCCTTCTAAACAATCGATCTAGGTTCAAAAACTTGATGATCCAGTGAAACCTATTATAGCTTTGATAGAGAAAAATCTTATCTACATCACCTTACCATTTAGAAGTGGTTCAAATAGCCTTTTTACTGAAACAAAGGCTTAAGTCAGGCATTAACAAGACATATTGTGCAGCGAAGGTCATTATCAAGGAAACAACAAGGTTCGGCTTCATCGAAAACCTAAAAGACAGGAAAATGATTGTGTCACATGCTACTGTGCTTACCGATTTCAATGTGTGTGTGTGTGTGGTCACACAGACATAAGGTGGAGGGGTAATCGTAATCTGAAAATGAGGGTGTGTGAACAGGTACCTAAATGATTGCAGAAACAAATAGAATCATGGAATGAGCCAATAAGAGTAGAGGATAAACATCCATCATCCTCTATTGTCAAACACACTATTGAAACGGGTCAAATGATTGGTCTTAACTTGGCTTTTGGTGGTGTTGTACAAAAGTGTCAAAAGGCGTATACTAAGGTTTATTGAAGCCTTAACCATACGAGAATCCAAACCTCCTCTGTGTATTCAAAAACAGTTTGTTCTCACGTTAACCATAGCCTGGTAATATTAGTGATGAGTTTCCACATTGTCTTTCATATGATCTTGTTTATTATCCTTGTCTTCTCTTAACCTTCATTTCTAGTTTAGTCTAATCTAATCTAGTCTAGTCTAGTTCTTAACGAGTATATTATGTATGATCAGATTGTTTGAAATTTATTGCACAAATATATTATCAGGTTTCAGTAGATAAGTGGACAACGCGACGATGTTTGAAGTGAACATTACTGAGTTGGAGTTCTCGAGTGAACAACAACTCTGAGATGCAGGTGCATCTAGCTGACGAGTTGCAAATAAGATGGAACGCGTGTCGAACTAGATTCTGTTGCTAGCCACCACCATCCATCTTTGCTTATAAAGCTTGTGACTTAAGGCTATATTGAGGCAATTCGCATAGGATGCACATATACCAACAAGCGATCGATCAATTGCAGTCCGAATATATTTTTTTCAATGTTCAATAATTTAAACAAGGCAAAAATATTGTTTATTTCATGCTGTTTATTGAATTGATTTTCCAACTGTGTCATCAAAAAAGAGAGAGAAGAATATCAGTTGGATAAGATAATTGTTTGATAGTCAATCCGCTTAAAAATGTAGGGATAATAATTGAAGATAATGAAAAAAGGAAAGAACAATAGCTGTGCCCTGATTTCTATCCACTGACCATAATTCAGATTATTGATTACTCATTTATGGAAACCAAGAGATCCGATCACTTGTTAGACTTCTATTCGATTTTACTAAAGAAAAGTGCTCCCAAATGTTCTGGTACGGCCTAGGGTGGGAAGAGTTAGCTGTTCTTCTCGAATTGCTTTCACATGGCCATTTGTATACAGTCACTACCGGGGAAGTCTTAATCACTGCCTTTTCGCGGCATTACTGTTGTTTACGAAATTGAGAGGACGGAAATTGAGTGTCCGGTGCTTTAACCGGGTTGATAGACACGGAGGGTCCACCTAGAGAAGTTGGAAAGCTCTGATTCCAAACCAAAGGTGCATATGGGCTCCAGGATCCTAAGGGAACAAATGGAGTATAAACCAATTATTGAACACTGACTACAATGAGACTGCATTTGCTGACGTCGCCTTGTGGATTAGACCATTAGGTTGAAGTCTCTAGGTATGGCTCCCTAAGAAATTCACCTACCTTGGTCTGGGCCTCCGGGCAGTATCACAGCCCACACACAAATCAAGTGATTTGTGTGGTGTATATGTATTCGATGCCCCTTTGTACCAATGTTTACATGTTCAAATAAATAAATAAATAAAATTTATAAAGACCTTTTGCACTAATCATTGGTCTATGTATCTTTGTATATGAATGGTTGGTATGATATGGAAACTGTCATTTAGAAGTTCTATCTTCTTACTGCAATAATAAAAGGATGTCACTCTATAGACGTTTTGTTTAATATCATTTGAATGTGTTATGCTCGCTACTTGATTAACGCAGAATACAGTATAAAACTACGACACTCGAACGTATGGAACCCTCATAGTCGCAAATCAAAAGACAAGAGCACTGGAGTAGTGTTTGTTGGGTAAGAATCAAAATGTGTAGAAAATCGTGGGTATTCATAAATATTAGTATTTGTTATATCAACATTATAATTCAACCAATCCACAAAGAGGTATGTTATGCTACTGTCTAATAGTAGCATACTACGTTGATATTCTCAATAACTCCATCACGTTCTGATTGAATGGAAACTTTTTATCTTCTTTAGAGCTTCTAGAGTCTCCGTGGTAGTTCTTGAAAATCATCGTAATAGAATGGAGAAAAAACAGAATGAATAATTTACTTTGGATTGTATCTAATTGAATTCAACTACTTCATGATATACTTAAAAATCACTTCATTTGAAATGGCTTATCGGATCAAATAATATCGCTTGTCATCATCACATGTTATGTTTAGTTTGAATGCTCACATTTTTATCTGTTACATGTTTGGTGACTATAATTATTGAAATCGATATTTGATAAGTCTTGTTAGATTTAACATTTTATCATTGAATAATCATATAGTAACATGTCTAAAAACTAGAAACTATTATATCAGAAGAGGTTATGTGGATTTTATAGTAATTTCAATGGTTGAGATTATGAGTCAATTAAAACTAGACCACTATGAAAAACCTGGAAACACAGGACGGCCGTTTCTTCCTATCGTAGGACTCCTCAGCAGTGCGTATCCACGATCTCACCTCGTGAAATTATAGGCCAGGGCCTATGAGTCTCGCGCGTGAGCAACTAAACTCTGCAACACTGAGCTGGTTGGCATCCAATGGTGTTAATGTCTAACTTCGAGTAATCCACGAAGTTGGGCGACACATCCACCAATGTCTTCAATGAGTTACTATCTCACAACAGACCTGGTCTATTTTCAATTGACTCATGATCTCAACCATTGAAATTACTATAATATCCACAAAACCTTTCTGATATGAATCAACATATGCTCACTAGTGACTGACTTCAAGATGGATTTCCTGGAGTTCTAGTGAGAAGCAGTGACCAGTGGAGTTCAACTGGGTCTGTTGTGAGATAGTAACTCACTGAAGACAATGGTTGATGTGTCGCTCAATTTTGTGGATTAGTTGAAGTTAGACATTAATACCGTTGGATATCGGCCGGTCAGTGATCTAGTGGTTAAGCGCTCCCGCGCGAGACCCATAGGTTCTTGGTTCGATTCTCGGAAGGCAAGGTCGTGGATGTGCACTGCTGAGGAGTCTTTTAACGGGACGAAACGACCATCTAGTGCTTCCAGGTTTTCCATGGTGATCTAGCTTCAATTAAATCATGATCTCAACCATTAAAATTACTATAATATCCATAAAAACCCCTTTCGATGAATTAATTAATTGTCATCATGGGGCTTTGTGGAGATTGTAGTATTTAGCAGTTGAATGTATGAGTTCATATTAGCTAGATCACTATTGTAAACTTGGAAGCACTAGATGACCGCTTTATCCTAGTATGGGACTCCTCAGAAGTATGAAACCATGATCCCACACATTGGACTCGAACCTACGACCTTTATAATAAATGTAAACAAATATTTGTAATCATAAAGAA